GGCGCAACTGACTTCGAGCACTGAACTGTTCGTACGCTTTAAAGTGAAAATGTAGACGAAAGGCCGTCTCCATTTATTCCTTGGAATAAGCCACTTCCTCCTGGGCCCATTCACTTTCCGTTTGAGTTGTTTCGGTAACAGAATAGCCCTGTCACGCATGTGATACTGCCTATAATTAGTTCCGCCGTATGCACAACTTTCAGTGCCCCTCTTTCATTTAACGCCTCTGATATTTCCACGTTCGCATGTCCTCATCCACGCGCATTTCTCAGTTCCACCCAGCCAGGAGAGTAAGCACTCCCCGAGCCAACACGGCGCTTGCCCGGCTGCCGCGCCGCCTCGGGCTGCCGCTGCGGGCGGCCGCCGAGCGCGAGGCCCGGCCCGGCCCGCCGGCCTCTGACCTGGATGTCCGGCGGGTCGTGTTGGGCGCTGCTCAGGCGGAGCCAGTACGCCGCGGCGGCGGCGTCGCCGGCGCTCCGGCAGCCTGTCGGGCCCGCCGGCCGCCGCGTCCCCGGCTGGGAGTGAGCTGGTGCCGGCCCCGCCGCCGAGGGCACCAGCTCCCATGTCGCCAGGCTTGCGCCCAGCGCTGCTAGCTGTATCGCTGTGTTGACCGGGAACCACGTATTCGATGTCATTAACTTTTTTGGCAGCTATCGACGGTGTGAAAGCAAACTTTGTAGTTGTTTGTAGTTGTAGAAGATGGAGATGGAATGGGTGATGGCACGTGGACGTGTTACGTTCATGCAAGCAGTAATATCCCACCTGTTTTGATCCCCGGCATTGTTAAGTGTGTTCTTGGATTTCAGAGGGCCCATTTAACGTTTATTTGGCTGACATACATTAACATACCAAATGTTTAACTAAATCCTCCCAAATGTTCTTGATCTGATTTTAACAGTTGGCTTTGATTCCCGCTTTCGGCATCACCTGTCCCAGACAAATAGGAAAACAGATTATCCATGTCAACTATTCCAACATCTGCAGTAACATGTTACAAGTCTGATTTGGGCAGTATTATCCTAGTTCCGAGCACCTGGAGGCGGGGCGGCCTCTCTACAACAAGTTGATGATTGTCATGGACGCTGATCCCAACGATATTCGAGCAAAACATGATGCAAGCAGTACATTGCGCACATTTCAAAAAGGATAACAGGCAACAGCCTTCTCTGCCCGAGGAGAGGACAGTCTGGATAGGCCCCCAAAGTAGGGCAAGCTTCCGAATGTCATGCACTCAAACACTCGATGATATTCCAGTTAGGCCTCTACAACCTTGTTTACCACGCAAAGTAAAAAAATACGAATGCAAAAATCAACTAACGAAAATGCAAAACTGATAATCATTGCACTTCGTGCATTTCATTGTCATTGTTTGTTTTTATTGATTGAGTTGATCGTAATCAAGTTTTGTTAATTGAAAACAAAATTCGCTAATTTGATGCTCTTCATCGTCAATCTCCAAAGAAGTTGTTGCCTCATTCTATCTATCCACGGCCGTCAGTGTTTCTTCGCCATCCTTTCGCAGTACCACTGTCGCTTTCATTTGATGTCTTCGCCATATTGTATTTGTTTAAAGTTTCCTAGTTAATGTGGTTAAGAAGCTTTCAGACGCGGTGGGAAATGCGGTATAGCTAGTATGCCAGAGGCCACACTGTTCTCAAAATATTGGGATATTTTACCTTTCCCCACTGAAAGATACTCGCTGCGGTTTCAAACCTGTACCAACTTCTTGTGACCGGCGCCGTCCATGTCTTCGGCTTTTGGGCCTTTTGGCATTTGCAATATAAATTGCACTGTGCACACGCAATTCAAATGATCAACGTTCAGCGGACTAGGGGCTAAATAAGCTACGCATGAAGGGTAGGGGGTTTGATGGAGCGTAACCGAAGCGCAACAAGGGGAGGGTTTCGGACAACGTAACGTTGCACTTAGCCGTAGTGTTAAATCATGGCGAAATCATTAGACAACACTTCAAGCCTTAAAACCGGCCGCCCTGGCTTCCAGCGACGGCAACCAGCTCGCCCGTCTTTAATTTGTACCTCTTACTCAAATAAGGGCAAAGCGAACATGATATATAATATAATATTCAAATATAAATAATGTTCAAAATATACATATATATACATATATATATATATATATATATATAATATATATATACATATATTTGAAATATACCCTTCCCACAACGGAACGCAATGGGGCTCACAACGTAACCGCTGTGCAGCCAAGGGGTTTAAAATGATTGAAACGCGCAACGTAGTCTTTGGAGAACCCCCGAGGTACTAATTCACATGTAATATCCCCCCCGATATCGATCATATATGATTTGTCTGACAACCGATAACTTCTTTTGCACGACCAGTTATAACCTAATTCACCATCTATAATGATCGGCACAGAAATAGTCATATGTGTAAGTCCAACGCAAATACAAACTCTTAGCCAGTATCCGTGGACACATTAAAGGTTCATTATTCTTGGATTGTTCATATATAACCGCCAGTTTTGAACGTGTTCTGTTCTACATCATTTCATGGTATTTCTTACTTGTTTTTCTCAGGATGAATGCTGTTACGTAGTTGTAAGATACAATTGATGTGCTGTGTCTCAAGCTGCACATCGTGCCGACGACCTTGTTTTTATTTGTTACTGGATGTTGTGTTGTATTCTTAGAAGTACTGATGTGGACGTAGAACAATAAGTAAAGCGATTATACCTGCCTCTGTCTATCGTTGCTTCACAGACACCCACAATCCGATTGTTTGCAGTTGACAGGTGTACTACCATGACGATCCGGTGACATGCAATCACCATTTGTTCGTGTGAGCAGACAGCTTCTACTCGCCATTGGACTGGTGCTTGTAAACGGACGTAGCAGTTCATTCAGGAAATGACGTATACTGCATTTGGCTAAATCATTGTGTGAACGTATGTTGATCAATAAATTATCAACGCTGCGCTGTTCTTAGAAATATAAGAGTGGGAGAACAGCCCGGATGGCCAAGAACAATCCATTCTTGACGTGAGTTTTACATCAAAAGGTTGGGGTCTGCCGACGAGTCGTCTAGCACTAATTTTTCGTAGAATACTCAAAACTTTCTGATTTGTTATCAGCGTGGTGCGAAGTGCTTTTAAACCGCAACAAACCCAGAACCCTTGACATATTGCCACCTTTTCGCTTTGCCTTCGACAATAAAACTATGCGGTGTAAAACGTCGTTATAGCAAGTCATTGCGTGGTGCTTTCTTCCCTAGATTGTTCTGTATCAGCATCAAAGCTTTGCAACGTCATAAGGCGTAAAGATACTTCTTTTGGATTAGAAGAGAACGTCACATGAATCAACAGAGCAAACTCGCCCAACAAAAAAAACTTTCGCCGCGCCAATTCCTTAAGCTATACAATGAGGCATGGAAGGCATTGTCGTTAGGCAGCGTTTGGTCCACTTACATTTTGGGAGGCTTCTACACCCCTACCGAAAGCTATGACGATAATTCACGGATGACGAACAGTTCAGCTCGATATCTCATCGGATTTCGCAACACATCCATATGATCACGTACGATGTTTTCCACGATGTTCAATACTGTATTTAGCCTTCAACATTGATATTCATCTAAACACCATTGATCCAAACACGAACATCATAACCCACCAAATGAAATGCAACCAAAAACATGTTCCGTAGGCCCACATGTAAATATGAATACATTTGCATGTGCTGTTAATTTGAGTGTTTATGATTGTCAACATTGTAGCTATTCACATTATACAAACCTATATTTCACAGGCACATGAGACCAGGTGCGATGGATAGCAAACACCGAGTTAATGCGATGGACCTTGTATGCATTAGTACGACCTGTGAAAGCATATCTAACGGGACCGACAGTCGACATTCAATGAATGATGACCAGCATATCGTTATACATGCTAATAACTTTTCGCGAGTGACGTAAGTTGTAAAGGACTGTTATTTAAAGCATGTTTCAAGATAAGGATGTTTCACAGTTAGCCGCTCAAGGCGCAGTTACCATTGGAACAATCAGGGACTAAGTGAACGCTAGCTGTGCAGAAAACGACTTGCCAGGTGTTGCCCCGATCCCCAAAGTTTCATCACGGCACACCGCCAAATATGGACCCTTGTCACCTGGTTCTCTCCCAGCTGCCATCCGGATAATCCTCTCACAACCTAACCTGTCGGTCTTCGACAGCGCTGTTACGTTATCTGAAGAGACCTAAACGCACCACCCCATAGTACTCCAGCCAGGGCAGGCGCGGTCCCGACTGCACCGGCCCTGGGTATGCAAAGTGAAAGGTGACGACACACGACGCAAGATATCCACTACTGCGGCTTTGAAGGGTCATAGTTCGACAACGTACAACACACCCCAAGCCCATCCCGACAAAAGCCAGGATGCGGTTGCGACATCCGTCTGAAACAAACTTGTTCAGCACTCTATAATTTTCAAATGAGGGCCCCACGAGCAATACCCAAGCACCGCTAAAGTTGCCATAGTATGCAGGATTTATTCATAGTCGCTCGGGTATGCTCAGCGGGTCGTGACGTCACCGAAACGGACGGATGAACCCCTACACCCAGGGAAGACTTTTCGCCCGTTTGCGTCCACTTGGGACAATGTAATCTTACCAACCGACATAACATTGTTAAGATGAAATGGATAGTCATGGTCAGCATCAATTATTAATCTGACACCTGGCTACTAACATGCGATTGATAACGCCCCGCAGATCACCAAATACCTTGAAATAAAGAATAACTTCAAAAACAGTTTACAGCGCACATAGAAGCCGTAGTTATGCGACGTCACACCCTTGCATTGGGACAAAGCGAATGCACTCTTCCGTGTCCAAAAAGGCCTACCATTATCTGTACCAGGGCGCAATGCCGCTGCCTCCTGAACTTGCACTGAAATGCCACGCGTGCAACATCGATAAACAGAGGCGACTCCCTTGCCCCTTCTCCCGTCATTATTGATCGGGAGCGGACCCGTCTCGGCTTGTCGGTCACTCATGCCGCCTCCAGCTGCAGCGGCTGCTTGAGATCTTCCAGCTCCGAGTTCAGCAAGACATTCGGGTCGTCCTGGTGCCTGAACTGACCCACCAGTGTCTGCTCACCGAGTGCCCGGTTCTTCGCGCACCGAAGTCGGCAGCGCCGGACCGATTCGAACACGATGAGGGCGGCAGCACACATGATAAAGGTCAGAAAAAACTGAGCCATGATGGGCACCTTCACCATGTCACCGTCTGGCGACGGCAGAGATTCGTCCACCAACACCACGCCAATGCTGGCGTTCTGAATCGCAGTTTCCAGAGCTATGGTGACCACCTACGAGGGAGACAGCGTGGGATTAACAGACTGGCAACCAGCCATTTTGTCTGACTCTAACAAATAAGTTCAGTGCAAGTACATGTTCTGCGTTAACCACAGATAGCTGAAAGAGCAGGAGACATCAATAGCACAAACAGGAATGCTATTTGCTGATGGCGCTGCGTGTCTAAGCCGCCTTGATACCTTTGGCTACAGACCGATCACGCTTATTACACTGATTGCAACACACACACACACACACACACACACACACACACACACACACACACACAACACACACACACACACACACACACACACACACACACACACACACACACACACACACAACACACACACACACACACACACACACACACACACACACACACACACACACACACACCACACACACACACCACAACATCACACACACACACACACACTCACACACACACACACACACACACACACACACACACACACACACACACAACACACACACACCACACACACACACACACACACACACACACACACACACACACACACACACACACACACACACACACGCACGCACGCACACACACTGATGAAGTCACTGCCCGTACCGCATTATCACCTATACTTCGACAGTCACGGCAAGCCATTGCTAACCCATGCAGACATTCTGAAGAGTGTTCTGTCCACAAAAGCACGTGACAACAACGCAAAAGCTTGACGTCATCGCCACGACCCTCAGAGCACCAGGGTGGGGCGACGAATTTCTACGTCCAAGACATACTCATTTTAAGTGTATTATCATCCGCTTCGCGTTCGGTGTCAAAGTGACCTTTCGAATGTTTTTCCAGAATGATTTTCGAACAGCACGGTGTGGCCACGCCAAACTTTGGTGGCTGTAGAATATTGATTAGTGAATTGATTTGATATAAAAAAACTGGAGGTATCTTGTAACTCGCTGACGCATTGACGTCAGGTAAGGCTGTCAGCACAGAGCAATATTCAAGATGATACAACAGCGGAGTGTTAGACGAAGCGGTACGTATCTCAGAAAGTTTTGTTGGCAATAAAAATACTAATTGAATTTAGAACTACAACCAATGCCATTGACCTAGAGTCCAGGTATGAAGATCAGGCTGAGGTCCAATACTAAGCTGCTTTTCTACTCGACATATGGTTTTTGGGGTAGTTTCTGGTTGCTTACTTCGCATTTACCAATGGCAGAGACCTCAACAGACTTCCTAAAGGAGGAATACTTTGTGCAATGGACTTTTTTTTAAAAAGCCAAAATAGGTCACTGACCTAAAATGACCCAGGTTTTAAAATTTTGTTTTTAGGGAACACACGACCTAGCGTAATCCCTAACACTTATTCGAATGGCAAAGTAGGAGCAATCTCAGGGTATTTGATCACTTTGTCCTTATTGACGTCAAACAAGGCTCAAATAATTTAACCTGAACACCGCTGATCTTTCGCTTTAGACCACTTATCTAGCATCGCGACGGTTGCATAAGGCCTTAGGGCACTTGAGGCGTCAATCAGAAGTTTGACTTGTTTGACCTATTTTGATTCAAAGATCATAATCTAGGAACATTCAATTTTGATGGAGGCGAATTCACGTACAGGCTAACCTACCCTGTGAGTTTTGTGCTTTTCGGTACCTTGCTTTTCCATATCTCGGGCGTCAAATTGAGCCCTCGCACTCGAGCGAAGGGTATTAGACCAGCCGCCGGGACCCGTGCTGATAGTGAACTAATCTGGACATGAATTTACGTTAACGGAAATGTTTTACAATTGAAGATATTAAAGCAAACTTCGGATATGATAAAATAAGCGCACTTACAATTATTGGTATGCTTTTCATTGGAAAAGACTGGTCTTAACAACACAGATTTTCTGTTCAGTAAGCATGCTTCTCAACACATCATTGTTTGAACACGTCATCATGCGTTGCAACACGCTGATTAACAGCCAATTGGTGGCCATTAGATCTGATAGTCGTGCTCACGAAAGCCAGACATGAACGACTCGACGGTTATATTCTTATTGGCCTTGATCGCCGCATGGTTAATGAAATGGTAGTATATTAATGACGTTATAATGACGTTGTGGCCGTCCAGGTGACTTTGAAATAGCCTCCTCGAAAAAGTCTGCATAACTTTGCGGGCGTGTAGCTCCGAGACTAGAAGGTTTGAGGTCTTAAGAAGGACAGGGCTTTGAGCTGCACCAAATGATTCTCAAGGTGGCTTTTTCAGCTCAAAATTACATCCAAATGTGGAACACTTTTTGCAATTTTTGAACGATCACGAATTCACAACAATCAGTTGGATGTTACATTATCGCTAGTCATTGCTGTAACCAGAAATACATTAAGCGTGACAGCCAGCACACAAATACCACTCTCCTACCACGTGTTCGTAGATTAAGTTCTACCATATCGATCTGGCGTTTATTGATCGGAACGACCTATTTACTCTAGTAGCGCTTTCACTCACTGCTGACGGGTTGACAAACAATCCTGGGCCCTGTTCGATCTCTTGTTAGCGAGATCGTCAGTTGTTATGCGTGATGTCACGCGTGCTGGCGGAGCGCTCAATGTGATGACTGACAGCAAACCCGTTAACTGTGCCTTCTTTTTTCATTTGCCATTTACCTGCTCCAAACCGTACCTTTTGTCCATAAAAAGGCCATAAAATTGAGACACTTGCTTGTTATGAAAATTAACGGCATGTTAGAAGTGTATGGCATTCATAGTGGCATTAAAAGTGCCGCAGTCTGCGGTTAGTTTAAGGTGAAGGTGGAGACCATTCTAAGTTCATTATTCTTTTTTGCTAATTGGTGGCCATGGAGAGGATTTTGCTAGAAGAATTTATCCTCCTTTCTTTCTACCTATCCTTCTTATTTGTCCTAATTCCTGCTTCGCATTTCCCCAAAATTAGAGGTGTATCCCCAGCCAGCGTACTTGCCAAGTTAAGCTCTACCACACCACACCCACGCCTCTCTGTCAGCGTAATTTATTTCATTTGGTGGCGTTTTTTTATCGAGATAGAACAGCAGCATCGCCTGTGCTTGACGCGAGCGCGGCGGTGCCATCCGGGACAGCGGCGGCGCCGCGGCGGTGGTCGTCAGCGGCCTGCCCACGCTCCACAGGTTTTCCGAACGGATGTCGCCCGTACACACTGGATGCGACTGAAGCCGACCTCTGCCAGTTTCTAGAGCGCCAGGTAAACGGGAGATAGCGGCTCCACCATCGCTCGGTTTGAGCACGGCGGACCGTCCGCGTAGGAAGCGGTCGTGGAGTCGGTGGCGAAGATTTACCCATGCGGGTAACCCATTGGACGGTGAAATGCAAGGAACATATGTTATAAGATCATTGGCATCATCTTATCTCGTGAAGCCCTTTAAAATCGGTTCTAGCCTTAATTTTTCCTTCCACGGTCATTCACAGAGACCTCGCCCCATGGGTTGCAATGGCTCCGTCCGAGTTAGTTCATGTTTCTTGGGTGCGCCTATCTGATGGCCGGCTTCACGTACTAGCAAGTAGACCAGTCCATCCAGCTGTCCTATATATATATATATATATATATATATATATATATATATATATATATATTGTAAAGAACGTGAAAATAGTTGGAAATGGCTAAATCCATCTTGCTGGCTCGTGCAAGCGTGGCAAACAGCACGTGCGACATTACAATCCACACAGGATGATTGTCTGTTCGATTCCCTGTCAATGAATGCTACTCCAGAGTAGGTCCGTGCCCTGGGTGCCAATACCAGATGCTTGCCTCAGTATCCACAGATATGGAACTTTCCTTCAGGCCGAACTGGATAATCGGAGCCAATTCGGACAGGCTGCGGGCGACAAGGAATCTTGTTGCAACTATAACGCTTTCTGTATCGATCTGGGGCCAGCTGTCCGGGTCAGAGAGTCTTCCGTGTCAGAGAGCAGGCCGATACGTGATCGCGGCCCCCCAGGATCTCCTGTTCGGCAGGGGCTCCCGTGTCATAAAGACAAAGAGACGTAAATACATCAGAGCAACAAAGAGTCACAAGGGCCCATCGAGGCTGACCTACCCTAGGTTCCGCGGACATGCTCAACATTAATCTCACCGCCTGACCTGCCTGAATTTAGCTTTAAATAAGATCCTCAGACAGACAGAACTTGTCCAAAGATCTTAGAGTGTTGCTTAGAGAGTAACTTCCTGCAGTTCCGTTTGGCAGTTCATTCCAATGATGTACTATTCTTTGACTAAATGACATCTGTCTCTTCATAGTTCTACTTCCAGCTTTTGCTACTTGGAAGTAGTTCCCTGTAAGTCACAACCTAATTTACAACGCTTCTTATAGACCTATCTTGTCTATCCCTTCATAATCTGGGATACGCCTTTCAGATCCTCTATAAGTCTACAATACTTAAGTGAATACAAGATCACGGCCTTAAGCCTGTCCCTACATTCGAAGTTACCAATCCCATTTATCATCCTAGTTGCTTCCAGCTTATCTCAACCTCCTGGAAGCATGAGCACCAAGCCCGTACACAATACTCCAGGTGTGGTCTGACATAAGCCAAGTACAACTTTTTGACAACATTGCTTCTCTTGAAATAGACATTCCTGTTCATACGTCCAGCATCCGAAGTGCCTTGTTCTAAGCAGACCCACTTCGCTTTTCAGCATTTAAATCCTTGGAAACTATAACCCTCAAGTCCTTTTCTTCCTCAATCTGGTCCAACTCTCGGTCTTTCCGTTAAAAGCTAATGCCCTCACCCCTACAGCTACCCAAATGCATCACCTTATACTTATCATAATTAAATCACATCTGCCATAGAGAACCCCAGTTCACTAGTTTCTATAAGTCAAATTTCACCTGGTCGGCATTTTTCAACACCCCTACCTATTTAATATCGTCAGCAAATTTGTGCACATCATTTTCTAATCCTATCACAGTACCATTCATAAACATTATAAAAAGCAAAAGACCCAACACGAACCGCTGAGGAAACCCACTCTTCACTAAATACCCCTGATATTTAGTACCATAGAACACCGCTCGTTGTTTCCTGTTTTGCAGTCAAACCATTACTCTTGCAATAGTTTTTTCCTCAATGCCATGCAATTTTAATTGGTATAACAGACGCTGGTGTGGCACGTTAACAAACGCCTCGCTAAAATCTAGATGAACAGCATCTAAGCTATTGTCTTTATCTAGCTGACTAGTGATGCATTTTTGGTCATCTTCTTAAACATCGGCACTTAGCATTGCGTCAGAATTCGGATCCTGAGAAACTCACTGATTTTTTAAAATATAAACATAAGAGCATAAGGTAAAGCCCTAGCTCATTGATTCTGTACTTCACCATGTATCTGGTCAGGTTCGGCCACCTTATTAACCCTGATTTTCATCAAGCTATCCCTTGCCATACCCTCGGTCATCACCAAATCTACAAAACCGCCTTCTGTCGGATTTTGTCTATTACCAAGGAGAGCACACACATTCGTCTTCGAAAAAACGAGGAAAACTGTCTACTTAGAGCATCTACAATATCCCGTCATCCACTAACGACTTACCATCTTCCTCAACGGGGCCCACAGAAGATCCCTTAGATTTGAATCTGAAGTATCGAAAACAGTTATTAATATCGCCAGAGCACTTGTATGCTAGCGGTGTTTCGGATTATCTTTCGGCTACCTCGATATCCCTCTTGATTATTTTTTAAAATTTTTGTAGCGATCCTATACACTCCCCTGAAGGTTTCTCTGTCCTTCATTTTTTGCCCATCATATGCCGCCTTCTTCACTGCTATCAAGTTACGCGCCTTCTGTGTCAGTTATTGGTGCTTCCTTGAGGTATTTTCTCACGCTTTCCTGAAGAGAATGAATCTTCCCTGACCTTCTTCTAAAATATCGTTGAACACTTTACACATCTGATGGGCAGTATCCCAAGTTTGAATATCTTTCCCCTGCAAGCTAGCAACAAAGGCTTTAAAAAGTTCTTAAGATTCACCCCGAGCAAAATTTGAAATATGAGCATGACAAGCCATACATCAATAACCTAGATGCCATGAAATCGCACAATATTATGTTCACTATTTCCCAGTGTCTCACCTCCTGTCAAAAGCATCCACCAATCTATCATCATCAGCCATGACAAGTCAAGCCTTCATCCCCTTATTGGGGTCGCACACCAGCTGCTGAACACAATGTTCTTAAAAGAAGGAAAAATATGTTGTGACAATTTGATATCTGGCAAAAATCTACGTTCCAGCCAGGGAGGTTGACATATCGCTTGCTTTCAGCCAATACATGCTGTCAGTGTCATAGAAGTGTACAGCTCCTGGAGAGTTTCTTTCAGAGGGTCTAGGCACAACGCTCGTTCAAATTTGAAGTATCTTCACTATTGTGGCACCGACACCACACTATCTCCGCCACCGGCTTCCAAATATTTAGGATGAGTTAGAAATATTACCTACATCGCAAACCCAGAGTATGTTTAGTTTCACACCGCCGTTTTTATGCTGAACTTCATTATACCCGGTGTCTATTACCTTACATCTGCACCCGTACCCTGCATTACCCTCATCAAGCCTGTCCTGCTTAACCTTGCCTTACCCAGCCCCATGCTCTGGAGCTCCACACAAATGGTTAAAGGAGCATATAAGAGCAACACAGCATAATCATGCTCACTTGAGACCACCTGAACTGAAATACAGAAAGAAGACTATTACACCATGAAAAGGTATCCACATTGGCTGAATACCCTGCCTGCACGTGGTGCTGTACTAGAACCTGTAATACTACAGATCATCTGAAGACTGAATGCATCATTTACTGCTGGCTACTAAGCCATACAACTGACAAGAAGATAACTAGACGCCTTTCGTATCAACCAAAAATTGCAGCCACTACCCCCATAACTCAGAATACGCCTACCTATTTCCTAATGTAACCTGTTTTGACCAAATGCAAAGGTGGCGCAGATGTGACGGGGTAAACCCAGAGAATTTGGCTATTTATTAAAAAATAACAATAAAACACCTTAAAAAGTACTAAAAAAAAGATAGCACACCACCCACATCTCCTAAGACACACACCTATACCATAACACTCCCTGAGCTGCACACTACACGAAAGCTCTGCAATGTCCACACACGCTCCCACTCCGTAGCAGCTCTAAGGTTCTGCAGCTCCGAGGTCCTGTGTCGCTCGAATGGCAGCCGATGGGCACTTCGCCCTTGGACGGAATGGCCCTTCTGCCCCTGGCATTTAATGATCATTTGGCCCCTGGTGTGGTACCTACAGAGCCACTTGCCCGGAAAATGTGTTCAATAGAGAGAATCGAATCAGGTCACAGTGAAGAAAAGGGCAACCCATGTGTGCCTGGCAACATCCACTCTCTTGCAGAATCGATGTGTGAAAATAACTTGAAAAGCTGTGTTCTAGCGTGCTAGCAATGCTAGGGACAGCCGCGACCAGGGTTCCAGTTTCCGTAAAACCAAGCGGCGTCGGCCGCTGCAGATAAGATGGCTGGCGTTTAGTGGGCGGGGACGACTGTCGTGAAATGTGTCGTCAAAAACGACCGTCTCGTCTCCGAAAGTATTTCGAAATCAGCTCATCTCGTTCAAAGATTACGGTGAGGTGTATATCACCTTCATAATTTTGCTATTGAACCCTGACCAGATCACAGCTACAGCAACACGAAATAGAGATTTTGCCCACACTCCTTCAGTTCCACTACCAGATTCCAGCACCTAGAGCGTACAAAGATACATATTCTAAATACCATGACTTTCATCAGCCACCGGCCACCGGGTGGTGTTGGCCGCAGGGTCGACTCCGCGCGACTTTGGAGACAGCAACACTGGGCGTCGTGTTTTTGCTTTTTAAGGCGTGCGATTACGCATGTTCCAAACTATGCTATGTACTCTATACCGATCGATTCTGAATGAGGGTTGATCAATCCCAGACCAGCATGGGTTAGCCACAGCAGCACTAATTTGTTTTATCTCATTTCCATCTGCAGTCAGCATCCCCGGGTTCCTGAAGATTCCTGTAAAACTATGAACACTCCTGACAGAGCCTCAGAGTTCTGTCGGTTTTCAAAGACTATGTAGCCACCATCGAAAAATCACTTATCCTGGTGATTTATTCCATGCATTTATTGAACACCAGCTTCCGTCCGTTCAATCGCTTAAAAAAACAGACTGAACTGCATCTTCTTGCATCGCCGGCAGCTTCTTTGACTTATATCCCAGTTAAAAAGAAACCGGAAATGAAATCGAAATGAAAAATCGCACCATCTCAAAATCAAGTGTGCGAAATCGCGTGCCTTTTTCAAGAATGGGGCTTACGACATAAGGGGGCTGCTGTGTCAATCCTGTGTATCCATTCTTCTTACTGAGGCTGTGGTTGCACCCCCGAAGGAGAGACAAAGCTCCCTCTGTCGGTCAGGCTGGAAGAGCACAGAAAGGGAACCATCCAAGGTGAAATTCGGAAATCTGGTGTGACAGAGCATGCATGTGCAGACAGCTATCACCGACCAGCATGGGATAAAGTAACCACCACAGACAGTGAGAGGCCTTGCCGTTGGTTCAGGATGCCATGTGCCATGTGCCAATAAGACCATGTGTCCAGGAAGCAGGACACATGACATTGGTTATCAACCACATCAGTGGGCCACAATTACATATCAGCCCAAAATGGCAGCCGATTTCAGGAAATAAATTAATCCAATTATTTTATAGGGGATTGGCCTTCCCGCTTAGCCAAGCCGGTAGAGCACCAGACTCGCAATCAGAAACAATGGTTCGAATCGCAGAGACTCCCTGGAAGTAACGCGGGTTGGAAGGCGCGCATGGCTGAAAGTCAAACATCGTCCAGCTCTTTTCAGGTTTCCAAAGCTCCTGCTCATGGACAGAGAGTAAACTGAAAACTTTGAATGAAGCACAAAATTTAGTATAAGTACTAAGACACCGCCCGAGGACGATAGTATAAGTACTACCCGAGGACGATAGTATAAGTACTAAGACACCACCCGAGGACGATAGTATAAGTACTAAGACACCACCCGAGGACGATAGTATAAGTACTAAGACACCACCCGAGGACGATAGTATAAGTACTAAGACACCGCCCGAGGACGATAGTATAAGTACTAAGACACCGCCCGAGGACGATAGTATAAGTACTAAGACACCGCCCGAGGACGATAGTCAGAATTTTTAATCCGGAATGTTCCAAATTCTATAGACATTGATGCAAGCGTGAGGTGTGGTTCAAAATCAAACCTAAACTATCGGTATGCCTTTGAGTGCGAAAGACTGGTCTGGACAACGTTTTTTGACTATCTAGTATATCTGCTCCTCAAGGCATCATCGTTTGATTACGCCTAGGAACTTTTTTTGTCGTACGAGCCGTAAAACCCCGTAAGGGGTTTTAAATTTATGCGTGTGAAAAAATGGCTTATCATGTACGCGTATTTTGCTCCTTTCCCGTAGTACTCTGGTTTATCTTTTAGCGATGGCTTGTTTTGTGTTGCTTTGTTTTGTTTTGTTTTGTTTTGTTTTTTGGTTTGAATCCATCCCTGGTTCTTGACCTTGAACACAACGTGACCACTGATGAGGCAAAATTTGTGTGACGTATGCACGGTATCATATACCTCAGGTTGTTTCAAATAAGGCAGCGTAAAAGTCGCACGGATCTGGGTGCACCTTGCTCATAAACGAACAGATCTGAAGTCTTACAGAGGGCATAACTGCGAACCGCAGAGAGTGATCTTTGGAATAGCTTTTGCGGCTGAAAACCACATACAGCTGTGGAGCAGTTTCTGTAATCCAGTCACCTGCTTCATGGGCAGTTGAAAAGCCACCGCCAGTCCAGTTGCGAGCAGCGCCCCTGAGGTTGCCACCACCGCCGGAAACAGCAGGTGTCGATAGTCCATAAGTTGAAACAACTCCAAGTTAAGAAACACCGTCACCTATGGAATGGGAGATCACTGTTAGCGCACAGCAAACAGCATCTGTATTCATGCATGTATGCAGATGTTTCTTGTTACCTGCGGTCAGTTCAATACAATTTGTTAAATATCTAAAGTACTGATGATGATCATAGCAATGGGGCTAATCCTGACAGCCCATAATCTAGGCGACGGAGACGTCTGGGTATTCAAATTAGCCTGCATGTTCCCTACTTTTAAGATACTGAAATCTTGCGATCAGCTGCCTCTTTGGGTCCAGTGGCTACCTGCATCGCGAACCTGGCGCTATCCCGAAAACCTTAGCGTGCTGCTCCAGATGACACCCATTGTTGCGACCATATTCCTGTTTTGGACATCCCTGGCAGACTCGTATCTGACTGAGTGGAGCTGAGCACTGTCTTTGACCAGTGTATGAGGGAGGACATACGCCATCTCTGTTCATATTGCATTCGGCGTGGAATCTGCCGAATGATCATATTTCGTTGAATGGTTGAATGCACGTTTACTGGGTCTATTGGTTATGCGAACGTAGCCACATAATGAACCTAGTGACGTACTCGCAGGGGAAGGGTTTTCCACTGGAAACGGCGTGTTATCGGCTGGGTTTCTGGGCTTATGCAACTTTCTTCGATGGTATGGCTGCTATGAAAAAATTGTGTGATGCAATCCAATAACTTAGTGTCTGCTATAAATATCATGATTTAGTTTTGTTGTTGAAATATGTAACGAAGGTAAACTGGAGCATTTTAGTGAATATTTCTGTAGTATGTTCAACATTACAGTGGCGCTAAATTTGATACCTGAATCCCATGTCATGCAATGCATTTACTACGAATCGCCCCATATGTTCAGCTTAATGTTTGATACGAGTCGATCAGTTACACCTTACACGATAAAAACGAAGTGTTGCGGCGATGATGATGACATCAAGAGCTTAAGAAAGACCTACGAAGTCAAACAAAACCCTTTTCTTCACATTCGTCAAGTTGAGATATGAGCGTAGCACGGCTCCTGGAGGTCATAACGGCCGGCGGCGGGTGATACCAGGACGGGCCGCTTGATATGAAAACACCATTCGCAATATGGACAGCCGGGGAGGGAGGAGTTACAAAACGCCGCCTACCGCCTAAGCTCATGATGCGCTCACTCACAGCGGCTCGAGCGGTGAACAGTGACCGGACCGCCACCGTGGCAGGGGATCATTTAAAGCCCTGAGGACGCCAATGTGGTCGTGGCGCGCAACAAGGCCGGTAATTTCGCAGCAGCCCAGTGACCTTGCGACCACTGAAACGACGAGTCAGCAATAACGCTACTACCAGGGACGCCCTCCAAGGCAAATCTTTAGAATAGCCGTGTAATGCCTTAATACGTGCTCGGTGGGGGGGGGGGGGGGGGTCAACTCGAACCGCCCCCGAAGGTTTTCCAGAATGGTTTCTGAACGGCGCAGTGTAGCCGCGCCAAATTTGGCATAGCTATAGGACAATTGAATAGTGGATCGCTTGGCGTCAAAAATTAAGATTTATCTGGTAAGATCGCTGACCTACAGCAGAGCAAAGTCAGCCCATGGATTCAGCAGTCAGTTTCTGGAGAATCGCTCAATTTGAGCCAATAACAGAGTGTTAAGTAAAGCCATACATCTCTGAGATACTTTCCTAGGCGACACAACAATTAAATCAACCGAAATCCAGTGACCTAAGGTCAGGCGTCTAGGTCAGACAAAGGTCAAAAACCGTCTTGTTTTTTTACCCAAGCGCTTGATGCATGGGGTAGATTCTGGTGCTCATTTCGAATTTATTGATAACAAGAACCGCATTATACACCTTCCATAGACTTCTTTAAGGGTCAAAATAGGTCACTGACCTAGAATGGCCCAGGTCAGGATTTTTTTTAGGGACATACTGCCTAACGTAATATTTGGTGCTTATTCAAAAGTAAAACTCAAAGCGGTTTTGTGTGATTTTGGACACCATGACCTTCATAAAGCCAAACGAGGTCACTCACCTTAGATGAGCACGTGACCTTTTCTTAGAACAGTTATCTGGATTCAAGGGGCCCTTCGGAGACCAACCCGGAATTTGACCTTGTTTTACCTTATTTGACCAAAAAGGCATGAGTTAAGAATCTAAGACTTTGACCCAAGTGAGTTCACGTACAGCCCAACACACCTTGCCAATTTGGTATCTCCAGCTCTCTTAGTTTGACATCTCTGGCGGGGTCAAATTGACCCCACGCCCGAGCAAAGGGTATCCAACCGGCCACCCGGGCGCGTGTTAAAAAAAAAAACTGACGAAAAGCTACGTCCTTCTAGCCGAAGAGTTTTCTCACGACACGAACACAACCAACGACAGCTACATCTTTGCACTGAACGCCAAATAAAACAGGTCGGCAGAAAAAAGCGCATTGACGGAAACCAAAGCCGCGTCGTGAGCATTTCAAGCCATTTATCTCAAATGGCACGATCTAAAACGCCGCGTGGTAAACTGATCACGTTTGTCGCAAGGTGCTGAGGCCTGCAACGTTTCCTACGACCAGTCATAAGCCAAGCTATTTGATACTTCATGCTGCTTAATGTGCGATGTGAGTCTTAGCTGACAAGTATGTGAAAAGCACTGATCTGAAGACATTGGAAAACGACTGGGTCACCACAGATCTGTGACTGTTAACACTGATATCGTATAGTGTGTAGTATGCTTCTATCGCTTGCTAAAAGCTATCCGTATTGAAACTGCCATGTTTGGAGACATGTTGTGCCTCAAGTAGCCCATACAGCGACACTTCAATGTTTCGAAATGTTGTGTACACACGTTTTCGCGGTAAGCGTGAAGGAGCACTAGGATTTGAGCGTCGTCTAACTGAGATGATCTGTTAAAATTTGCATCGTTTTTCGCAATTTTATCGCCAAATACCTCGCATGACCCAAATGAAAAACGCAAAGCGGCAACCCTGGACGTAAGACTGCTGCTAGTTGAACCTGCGGACACTGTAATGTGGAGTGGGTGCTAGTCATGGTGAAAAAGCAGCCAATAGAAGCATTACTCATGCAATATATTTGCTTGACTCGCGAGAAAGACTGGCACGAGTAGGTTCTCAACAGTCTATTACGCAAACGTTCAGAAATTCGCTAGGCACAATGAACAGCTCCCTTAGATGATCCTGAGCTTCCAAACCGTGGGGACTCATGAAAAGCGCGCTGATTCCCCATAGGGTATGCGTTTTTTTGCGGGGATGCAGCGTTCCTGTGGTGCCTGGGTGCTCCTTACTTACCGATACAATAAAGATCACCGAGCACAGGGTGAGGGGTACCAGGATTACTTCGGAGTGCTTCTTCCAGTGTGGACGAGCCCGTCGGAGAAGTATCCCGGCTGCATATGGAATCACCATTGCCGCGAGAGCACGCAGGAGACCCGAGAACGGAATGCTGATGTCCTCGCTGCCTGCTGAGAGCGTCAGGCCGAGGGTGTACAGCCACAGCGGCATCATGGCTGCCAACAGAGCGAGGCCGGCGTCAGCGGGAGCCGCGGCGAAGCACGAGCAGTACCTGCACACATCTAGGCGTCAGGTGAGTAGTATACACGATGTAGTTCTCACCGTTAGCAGCGACGTTGGAGACGAAAGTCATGGTGCTGCTGAGGTTGTAGTCACCCCGGAACAGAACCGTCCACATGTTACTTCCCGAACCGCCTGGGCAGATGCCTATTACAAACGCCCCCAGTTGGTAGAACGGTTCATGCGGATATCCCAAACGGGCTACGGTGTAGGCAACCTGGTGGACAAAATGGTTTGGTTATGTAAAAGAAAGTCGCTTCATTACCCGGAGCAAAGTGACAGCTTGCTTGCTCGCTGACATCTATCTTGAGGCTTGAAGGGCATAGTTGGTAATGGTAACGCCATCTGTCCATGGACTAATGCCACACAGCCGGACTCGGCTAAATGGAACACAACAATGGCAGGTATGTTAGGGCGTGTTGTGAAATAACATGGTTGGTATACATGAATAAGTACCATATATTGTGTACACGAGCACAGTTAGCGCTTAGCCCTGATGGGAGGGCATTCTTCGGACGTCAGTGTGGCGATGCCACTGTCAGTTACGATATCATCCATGCGTATGCGCTTCGATGGGAGTCAATGTGACCTCCCGAGAGCTTTCTCAAAACAGCTTCCGAACAGTCCCGATCAGCCGCGCCAACCTAAGCAGTGCTGTAAACAATTGAATGACCGATCTTTCGGTATATAGCAATAAAACGCATCTTGTATGGCTCTTGACTATGTC